CATTTTGTTTAACCGTTTTTCTCCTGTTTATTGGTTAGCCAGGGAGTTCAGGTTTTGTACTTTGTTTTCAGCCCTTTTCTAGAAAGTGTTTTTACTTTATAATTAAAAGGGGGATGTTTTGTTTGTTGTTTTGGCCTTGGAGACCCTGAAGCTAAAAGCTTCCCTGTGTATGTTTATTGTGACTTTGTTGAAATATCAATTAAATTATCTTTTTTCCTACTGAAACCAACTGCTCAGGTTACCTTATTTTGTGTTAGACCCAGTGCCAATTTTTACCCTTGGTGGTCTTGGGGGAGGGGTCGTAACAGGCACAAATCAAAAAATCCAGATGATCTAACAAAATTTCAGGCACTGCTGTCTGCATTCTCTTTAAGCATGACTGATGCAAAAAAGACTTTCTATACTGATAAGATTCACAGTACAACCGACACTCGAAAATTATTCTCCATCTTCAAAAATCTGCTTAACCCTCCTCCTCCGCCACCTGTTACTAGCTTAACGGCAGACTCGTTCGCCTCATTTTTTATTGACAAAGTGGCAGCTATAAGCAAACAGTTTACTGAACGGCTTGCACATGAAACTTCTCATAGTACATATACAAGCAGAAGTCCTACTGCTTTGTTCTCCTCCTTCGCTCCTCTCACTGAGAGCAATGTGTCCAAACTTCTCACATGTAGCCGTCCTACTACATGCCTGCTGGACCCAGTTCCTACAAACCTACTCCAGTCCATAGCTCCTACAGTTACTGCAGCAGTCACACATGTGATCAATGCTTCGCTGACATCTGGCACATTTCCTAACTCATACAAGCAAGCTTTGGTCACACCGCTGCTCAAAAAACCCTCTCTCCCACCAACTCAGGTGGAAAACTATCGGCCGGTTTCTCTGCTTCCATTCCTGTCAAAGACCATTGAAAGAGCAGTCTTTAAGCAGGTCACAGACTACCTTTCACAAAACAAACTCCTTGATACAAATCAATCTGGGTTTAAAAGTGGCCACTCCACTGAAACGGCTCTGTTGTCTGTGACAGAAGCCCTAAAAGAGGCAAAGGCAAATGCCAAGTCCTCAGTACTTATCCTTCTTGACTTATCAGCCGCATTTGACACAGTCAATCATGACATCCTTCTGTCTATACTCTCGAGTATGGGCATCACAGGGAGAGCACACTCCTGGTTTGAGTCGTACCTCACTGGTCGATCATTTAAAGTATCCTGGCTTGGTCACACTTCTGCAGTGCACCACCTCGCCACAGGGGTTCCTCAAGGTTCAGTACTTGGACCTCTTCTCTTTGCTATATATACCACTTCCTTGGCCCAGATCATTCAATCACATGGTTTCTCCTACCACTGCTATGCTGATGATACACAGCTCTATCTGTCATTCCCACCTGATGACCACTCGGTCTCAGCACGCATCTCAGACTGTCTCTCGGACATATCAAAATGGATGAAAGCCCACCACCTCCAGCTGAATCTCTCAAAAACTGAACTGCTTGTCTTTCCAGCCAAACCAACTATTCACCACAATATTCACATCCAAACTGAATCCCTCTCTCTGACTCCATCAAAGGCGGCAAGAAACTTGGGTGTCATGATTGATGACCAGCTGACCTTTAAAGATCACGTTGCCTCTGTTTCTCGATCCTGTCGCTTCGCATTACTAAACATAAGAAAGATCCGGCCGTACCTAACACAACATGCTACCCAGCTCCTGGTGCAGTCTATGGTCATCTCCCGCCTAGACTATTGCAACGCACTCCTGACTGGTCTCCCGGCCTGTACAGTAAAACCTTTACAAATGATCCAGAACGCGGCGGCGCTTCTGGTCTTCAATCTGCCCAAAAAATCTCACGTCACCCCTCTGTTCATTGAACTCCACTGGTTACCTCTGGCTGCCCGGATCAAATTCAAGTCCCTGATGCTAGCCTACAAAGTGCTTAAGGGTATGGCTCCCATCTACTTGAATCCCCTTGCAAAGGCTTATGTCACAACTCGATCACTCCGGTCATCAATGGATTGTCGTCTAGCAGTGCCTTCACCACGCTTAAGACAATCCAAACTGTTTGCATGTGTCGTTCCAAGATGGTGGAACGACCTACCAAGCTCCACAAGAACAGCAGAGTCCCTGTCTGTTTTCAAGAAACTCTTGAAGACCCACCTCTTCAAAGAGCATCTCCTATCCTAACCCTAACCCGTACCTCTACCCCCCCACAGCTCCTTCTGTAGCCCCTCTACCTCTATCTCTATCTCACCACTGACTCTGATCAGTGTTTCTGTTCTATATAGTTTATTGTCATTGTGATGAGAAATGTAATATTGTGTCTACTCTGTAAGTCGCTTTGGATAAAAGCGTCTGCCAAATGCATAAACATAAACACAACATAAACATAAAAAGGGTTGAGAATAAAGGAACAGCTGAGGTGCCAGCCAGGGTCACAGGTAGCCTTCAGTAAGGAAATAGGATGCCTTTTATTGTACTTTATTTCACATTAGTTTATGATGATAACTTTTTTGTTTTATTTTTTTCTTTCAGTGGACGGTGAGACATATGTACCTAAGACTAGACTTAAAACCATGGGGGACAGGGCGTTCTCTGTTGTTGGTCCCAGACTCTGGATGGCTCTGCCCCTCCATGTGTTTTAAGTCTCGTCTGAAGGCCCACTTTTGTTCTCTGAAGTTGTGTGGTCCTCTGTGTCTTTTACTGTTTTAGCTGATTGTCACATTTTATTGAATTTCTTGTATTATTTTATCGTTCTCTTGTATAATTTTAGTCTATTTTATGACTTTATTTTTTTATGTATTTTATATGTGCAGCACTTTGGTGAACATGTTTACGTTTTAAATGTGCTATATAAATAAAGTAGATTGGATTGAATAAGATGATTTTCCGTGGCTCACTGCTGTGGTAAGTTGAAGTACAAACAAATTGTAGT